TGTGACATTATCATTTATGGATGTGTTAGGCCAAGTTCAGATATATTCTGGGATGCCTGAGGCCCTTGGGCTGCAGGATAGACACGCTTGTTGGGGTATGGGAAAGCTGAAATACTAAGATGTAGGTTTGCTGTCTCTCTGCTGGGAGCAGCGCAAGTAGAATGGGTTTTCAGCAGTGTGAGCCTGTGACAGCTCTGTAGATACTCAGGGCAGGAAGTGGTGGAGATTCTGTTCCTTGGCTGCCCCTGGACTCAGGTTACCTAAGAAATGGACTATCTGCCAGATAATAGGGAGACTCCTTGCTTGGCCCTGAGTTCAAGATAGCCAAGTTCAGAGGAAGAGAGGTGCCTAACAGAAACAATGCTTATTAGCTATGTTTTACTTAAACCAATGGACAATTTTTCTTTGTATGTCCATGTATATGTGTCTGTATCCATGTGTGTGTGTTTGTGTGCACATATGTGTATAGGTATATGTGTGTCAAGGTCAGGGGTCAGTGTCAAATTTCTGTCTCTTCACCTTACATTTATTTTTATTTCTAGTTGTGTGTTTGGTGTATGTACCTGTGTAAAAGAGTGCAGGCACCTATCAGTTTCAAAAGAAAACAACAGATCCCCTGGAGCTAGAGTGACAGGTGGTTCTCGGGAGCCCAATGTGGGCATTGGAACACAACCACAGTCCTCTGCCAAAGCAAAAAGTGCTCCTAGCATCTACACCGTGTCTCTCCACCCTCCACTTTACTTTTTGAGACAAGGTATTTCACGGAACCTGGAGCTTTCTGTGTAGGCTCACTGGCTGACAGTGAACTTCAAGGATACTTCTGCATCTGTCTTTCCAGTGCTGAGTTCCAGGCATGCTCCACCACATCCAACTTTGTCATGGATTCTGGGGATCCAAGTTCAAATCTTCATGCTCTCGAGGCCAACACTTCACCAACTAAGCCATCTCCTCAGTTCCAGAGGTCTTCATTTCCCTCATTGAGACCCCGCTTTGCCCTCTATGTAATACAATAAAATATCTAGATTGTAGAAACCCTGGCCAAGAGCCACACAAGTGTGTCCTTAACAAGTGAGAGGACACTGAAAAGATTTTTGTTTTTTAAACTGGCCTTAGGAAAAGCAAAGCTGAAATGCACATTTCATTCCCCTACACCGTTGTTCAAAATGTATTTTTTTTCATCTTTACTATTAGGGAAGAATTTCAATTAGTTTGATCTTCACTTTGACTATGAATTTGTAATTTTCTTCTCATGTTAGCCAAGAAAATTTGATGAAAAGAATTGGGCAGTAATGGAATCTTGTCTTAGCAGAACAAACCAGAATACCACACCGAGCAGAGGATGACTGGCATTAAGCAGCTGGAGACAGGGTAAGTAACGGGGCAGTGGAGCAAAGACCTACCTTTCCCAGAAATGTCACTGTCCCAGTGGGTATAGAGAGAGGGTGCCCTAGTGCAGAAAGTGCCTAGGTGACAGGTGTACTTGGCCTGGATATTGCCGTGGGCTTGTCTGGTAGGTCATTTCATTCTCTGCTCCTCAATTTTCTCATCTGTAAACTGGGGACTACAGTATCTACTTTGCATAACTGTAAAGATAATAAACAGAGCAAAAACATGAGTCTTGAGCCTGGAGATACGGCTCAGCAGTTAAAAGTGATTGCTGCTCTTGCATAGGACCGAAAGTTGGTTCTTAGTACCCACATCAAGTGGCTCGTAATCGCCTGTAAATCCAGATCCAGGGCATCCAATGGCCTCTTCTGACCTTCCAGGGCACCTGTTCTCATGCGAGCCATGCACGTACACACACACACACACACACACACACACACACACACACACACACACACACACACACACACACACCGTAGATTTACTTTCAGCTTTTTGAGAATTCTCCACACTGTTTTCCATAGTGGCTGCACCAGCTCTGAATCCCAATAGTAGTGAATGAAAGTTCCCCTTTTCCAGAATTCTTTCTATCATTTGTCGTTTGTTTTCTTTATCTTAACCATTCTGACTAGGGTCGCAAGAAATAGTTTTAGTTTGCATTTCACTAATTGCTAAGGATGTTGAACACTTTAAAGATATATTTATTTTTTAGTTACCTTTCTTTCTTTTCTTTCTTTCTTTCTTTCTTTCTTTCTTTCTTTCTTTCTTTCTTTCCTTGATAACTATGTTCAGCTACACACCTAACTTTTTTAATTCAGTCATTTGTTTTCTTGATCATTTTTTGAGTTCTTTGTATATTTTGGATAACAGACTTCTATTGGATGTATAGATAGCAAAGATCCTCCCTCACTCTGGGGGACTCCTCTTCACTTGATTCATTGTTTTCTTTGGTATACAGAAATTTTTCAATTTTATGAGGTCCCATTTGTCAGTTGTTGGCCTTAATTCCTGAGCAAATGGAGTTATATTCAGCTTAACCTTTGTTGTATCAATGTCTCTTTTCTTCTAGTAATTCAGCGTTTTGTTTTCACATTGAGGTCTTTGGTCCACCTGGAGGTGATTTTGGGGCAAGGTGATCAATGTGGGTTCGGTTTCATTATCTAGGCCATCCAGTCCAGTGTGGGTGGAACCACCCCTAGACAGGCAGTCCAGTGTGGGTGGAACCACCCCTAGACAGGCAGTCTTGGGTTGTGTGAGAAAGCTAGCAGAGCAGAAGTATGGGCAAGACTGCAAACAGCAGTCTTCCTCCAGGTTTTCTGTTTCCGTTCCTGCTCTGATTTCCCTCAGTGACTGACCTGGTAGTGTGAACCAGATAAACCCCTTCCTCCTCAAATTGATTTCAGGTGGGGTGTTTTACCATAACATCTTGAAGCAAGCTAAAACACACAGTGAAAGGTGCCTATGAACAAAGCGTCTTGTTTGCTGGTCTCCTCCAGAGTGACTGTGCCTGTTACATCTGCAGCAGCTTAGTGTACTTCCTTCTTCCTCCCTCCATCCCTCCTTTCCTTCCTTTCTTTTGAGACAGGGTTTCTCTGTGTAGACCTGGCTTTCCTGGAAACCACTTTGTAGAGGAGGCTGGCCTTGAACCCAGAGATTCGCCTGCCTCTGCTTTCAGATTGCTGGGATTAAAGGTGTACACCACCACCCATATCTTCTTTTTTAACATTTTTTACATGTCATTTTTATTGATTATTTGGGAATTTCACATAATGCACTTCAATCATTCTCACTTCCCAGTCCTCCCAGGTCTTACCCCCTACCCTTGTGGCCTACCTAACAAAAAAGATTTTTAAGAAGTTCATTTTGTTGTTCATATAGTCACCAGAGCATGGTCAAACGCCCAGTGACATCCGTGTTCCTGCTGATTGTAGAGGACAAGGAAGCTTCCTCTGCAGTGACATTGAAGACTTAAGTCTCAAAGTTGAGAATGGGAGACATAGAAGGCTTCAGTGACAACCCCCACCCAGAAACAAAAAGCGACAACCTAGACAGGAAGCCTTAAAAAATTGCCGGCAGGATGCTGAAATGTAGCTCTGCACAATAGATGGATACTGGGGGTGGGGTTGGTGGGTGATGACTCACTTTTCTTTAGTGTACTTCTTACTGAGCCTGCAAGTACTATTAACTCTAGTCCTGAGCCAGGTTAGATACTTAGATTAATTCACCCACAGGTCTCGCTTCCTTTCCCTCCTTGTCTCTGGGAATTGCCCTTTTCAGGTTACTACTTTTATGTATTTTACTTTTTCTTAAGAAAGGTGGGGGATGTGGCTCTAGGATGTTGCCTAGAATACATGAAGCCCTATGTCCCAATTTAGGTCATAAAAGAAGAGTCGTGGTTCATGCATGCAATCCCAGCACTTGGAAGGGGGAGGCAGAAGGATCAGGAGTTCAAGATTACCCTGGCCTACATGGAGTTGGAGGCTAGCTTGGGCTACATGAGATCCTCTCTCAAAAGAAAAAAACCAAAAACAAGAAAACAAAACAAGACAAAACCCAACAAAGTGAAGTTCTATTTTCAAAACTCACACTGCTATGGCTGAAGGGGACTCAATCTATTTTCTGTCTTTAAAATGTTGACCCAGGCACGGTGATGGAGACAAGGAAGGGCTGTTGTCAAGATGGGCAGGGACTAAAAAGGACCTCTTTTCTCAGATAGTAGTGTTTGATTAGGGTGAGCTCTCCACCCTGCCGCCTCCACCTAGCAATGTCTGCACACATTTTGACTGTGGAGTGTCTCTCAAAGTACAGGTCTTTCCACTCTGTTTTGTTCCCACCCTTATCTTCGATTTAGAGTTAGAAGATGAAATATCTAACTCTGGGGGGCTGAAACTGCCTCTAAGAGTACCCCCACCCTTTTAAGCAGTGGACCTCTGTGACAGTGGGCAGGTTCCTGTTCTGGTCCTTGAGTTTGGGAAACAGCTTCCTCTCCAGGACGTGGTTCAGTAGCCTGACATCAGGAACAAATGGAACAGGTGTCTTTCCTATCCCTATGTGTTCTTAGCTGCGGGTGAGTTCTGCCTCTGGGGGAGAGAGTGGCTCCATGACACATACAGAGGTTCTTCAGAGTCCCTGGGCAGGATGGCTAGGCAGCGAGCGCACTGTGTCAGACACTAGGAGGCTTGGAGCCAAGCCAGGTCTCAAAGAAGATCTCATTAGCTTGGTGGTTGCTGACTTCAACGCAGTAATTCATTGCAAATACCTGGGTATCCCTTAATCTGGGCACTACTGGGAGAGTGTGTGTTCACCTGCCATCCAGGGCAAGCCACAGCCAATCTAGTCCTATAAGGCAAGACATAAGACATCTCAGTTACCTGAAACAGTGGGAACCCAGTCTGGTGACCTTTTTTTGTTTTTGTTTTTAGTTCATCTCTCTCTAGAAGGCCAGGAGCACCGTCCGGCTTCCCAGGTGCCACACCTATTCTGCAGGCTGGCTGGTCCCCAAAAAACCCTCAAAGGCTGGCCTGGAGGCTGTTGCAAGGGTGAGGAGGGAGGTGCGGCTGTTCGTTTTCCTGCCACAATCTCTGTGTTGAGTCACAAGCGCGGCCGGGCTGGTTTTGCAGCAGGCTGCTGAGCAGAAAGAGCTGTGGTTAATGATTGACCCGTGGGAGACCTCTTGCTTCCCTCCTGCAAGTCGACAGGGAGGCCAGTGCCAGGGACCTGGAAGGGAGAGGAGGAACCACAGCAAGGCAAAGTACTGCGGGTCTCGCTGTGAGTTGGTCAGGGAGGTCAGAGCCTGGTCCCTTCTTACTGCAGAGCTGCTGTCTCCAAACCCCACCACCACCCACCGGCGCCACCAGGGATTCTAGGGTGATTTATTCCAGGAAGTTTCAATGAGAAAGCCGAAAAACTAAGTCACCCTTGGCCAGCCAACTCCAGTGACGGAAAGTGCTGCGCCCACGCTGGTGAGTTGCGAGATTTCTCTGGGCAGAGGAAGGGAAGTGGAGACCTTTGGGGACCTGGTAGCCTGGCTCTCCCTTCCTCATGGCTTCATCCAGTATCTCCAGCAATGTCTGTTCCCGTGTCATCGATCACAGCCATGTCCCCGAATTTGAGGTGGCCACTTGGATCAAAATCACCCTCATCTTGGTGTACCTCGTCATCTTCGTAGTGGGCATCTTGGGCAACAGCGTCACCATCCGGGTTACACAGTTATTGCAGAAAAAGGGCTATTTGCAGAAGGAGGTGACAGATCACATGGTCAGTTTGGCTTGTTCAGATATCTTGGTCTTCCTGATTGGCATGCCCATGGAGTTCTACAGCATCATTTGGAACCCTCTGACTACACCCAGCTACCCGCTGTCCTGCAAGCTCCACACGTTCCTCTTCGAGACATGCAGCTATGCCACATTGCTGCACGTGCTGACCCTCAGCTTTGAGCGCTACATTGCCATTTGTCATCCCTTCAGGTATAAGGCCGTGTCTGGACCTTGCCAGGTGAAGCTGCTGATCGGTTTTGTATGGGTCACCTCTGCCCTGGTGGCGCTGCCCTTGCTCTTTGCCATGGGTATCGAGTACCCCCTGGTGTCTGTGCCTACCCACAGAGGACTCAACTGCAACCTCTCTCGCACCCGCCACCACGAGCAACCTGATACCTCCAATATGTCCATCTGCACAAACCTCTCCAGCCGCTGGACTGTCTTCCAGTCCAGTATCTTTGGGGCCTTCGCGGTTTACTTGGTGGTCCTGGTGTCTGTGGCTTTCATGTGTTGGAATATGATGAAAGTGCTCATGAGGAGCAAGCGGGGCACTCTGGCAGGGACAGGGCCACAGCTGCAGCTGAGGAAGTCCGAGAGTGAGGAAAGCCGGACAGCGAGAAGACAAACCATCATTTTCCTGAGTGAGTCTGGGTGGCAGGGGACTTCTGAGGGGTAGCTGCTTAAGGGCCCTGGTGTTCATCCGGCGTGTGTCTCTTCTTTGTGTTTAGGAGATCTGTGGTCTGTGACATTGGAAGGTCTGGTACATCATTTCTGTGACTTCAGGCTATAAACAAAATATCTTGGATGAAAATACTGGGAGATAAGAGGAACAAATTAAGTCACCCAGGACAGGCGTGAGTCCTTTGAAAAGGAACATGCTCTTCAGAGATAAAGAGAGTGACTCTTATCTTCTGATTCGTGGACCAGAGAGCCTTGATCAGGCAGGGACATTTTGTCCCCATTTTTTTTGTCGTCCTCCTCAGGAGAGGCTGGCTTGTCAGGGATACTGGCTCCCGAGATTTCTATTTCTGGCAGGAATCATCTGCAAGTCTTAAGAAAATGGAGCTCTCATACGCTCACCCTGAGATGTGCATGATACTGCCTGCTTGGGGCCATGGGTCTGTGAGTTCCTGGAAACTCACCTGGCCTCAACATTTCTTTGTACCTCTTTTCTTGGGCAGAGAAAGCTGTCTGTGGCCCAAACATGGAGGTGATACAAGTATTTCAAATTGAGGACCTTCTCTGGATTTAAGGTGGCTATTTCTAGGGAGCCAGTGATATAGAAGCCCCAAATGTCTTCAGGTGTCTTCAGATGCTAGAGATGTGGTCATGATATCATGCAGGAAGCCCTGAGAGCATGACATAAACTCGATGTGACATACCATTCTTGTCATCCTAGCACTGGGAGATGGAAGCAGAAGGATTGGAAGTTTAAGGCTATCCTTTGCTACATAGTGTGTTTTGAGGCTACCCTGGGCTCCAAGAGACCCTGAAACAAAAGCAAAGCAAAAAAGAGAGATGTCTCAGCAGTTAAGAGGATGTACTGCCTGCTCTTCCAGAAGCCTCTAGTTAGATTTCCAGCACTCTTGTCCAATAGCTCATAACTACCTGTAACTCAAGCTCCAGGGGGTGTGAAGGCCTCTTCTGGGTGAACCTCGCCTAACATCCACAAACACTCACACAGACATACACGTACATATATGAGTAGTAATAAAAATCTTAAAAGAATAAAACAAAACACAAATTAGAAGAAGGGTTTTATTGAGGTCCTCTGGGAGCCTGGGCTTTAACTCAGACATCTGAGGGTGTGTGTCACCAAACGGCTAAAAAGTATTTTTCAGAGGAAACAAGGAAAAGGTGACGTCGTCGGCATAGGTATGTGAGTAGGAGTTGGGCCAAGTGAGAGTTGAGATTCCGAACATTTTTCTTCTCTTTTCCCCTTTTCAGTGTGCTCTCATCAGAGAAACCAATCCTGGGGTTGTTTGTTTGGATATCACAAACTTGAGTAGCCAGCTCCAGAGCAGGGGTTCAGGCAGGGGTGAAACAGGGAGGCACTTGTGTAAGGGTCAACCCTGCTTTTGACTGAGTGTGGGTCAGATGCTGACTTTATTTTAATCTAAGTCTGTAGAAAATGCTAAGACACTGGTTTGCACGATATGGGTGGTCATCTGACATCATTCTGGGTTCATGTATCCTGGAACAAACAATTACATCAAGGACATTTAGATTGTGGTATAAACATAGACAGTTTATTGTGAAAGAGGTCACCCCCAAGCAAGGAAACAGGCCAGAGTGTTGGAAAAGAAAGATCAGAATCTCTATGGCCCTGGGTCCCAGAAGCTGTGATCTTCTGTGGGCCATTTACACAGAGTTCACCTTATCCTACACTTGTATAGTGTTATGCTTTCTGCTTAGCTTGTAGCCCTTAGTGCTCCATATGTTAATCTTAATGCTCTTTCCTCTGCCCTTTTCCTGCCATAGCTGTGCTGGGTCGCATATGCGTCCATGTTATAGAGGAGGCATTTGAGACTTCAAATACAGACTGCGAGGAAGCTGGGCTGCTAGAGTCCTTAGCGTGTCTCCAGCACTGCATAAAACCAGAACTGAGGGTACATGCTTGTAACCTCAGAACTCTGGAGGTGGAAGCTGGAACATCAAAAGTTCACAGTTATCCTCAGCTAGCCTAGCCTGGCACATACGACACCCTGTTTAAAAACAGCCAACCAACCAACATCCACAAGACCCACCTCACAGCTAGGAGGGTCTGGCCCAGGCTTCCATAGTCCTGGTGGAGGAAAAAGATGTAAGACAGGGCACAGACAGGGAAGGAACAACCCAAGTTGGCAGGATGGTGTTCTGGGGGTTAAATGACCTGGAACACGACAAGGGCTCTGATGACAATTCAGTCTCTGTCACCCACTGTCTGCTGATCAAAATATCCCAGGAGTAATAGAAATTGTGTTTGCTTGCTTGAAAATTTGGTGAGAAACTTTTCTCCCTTCTAAATCCTCCTAGACTTAACTTATTTTTTCCATTTTTTAATTTATTTAAATTAGAAACAAGCTTGCTTCATATGTCAATCCCAGCTCCCTCTCCCTCCCCTACTCCCCCATTAAACTTATTTTTATATATGTGTGTGAATGTGTGCTTGTGCATGCAGATGCTCAAACAGACCAGAAGAGGGCGTTGGATTCCTGGAACTGGTGTTACAGATACCTGTGAACTCCCATCATGGGTGTTGGAAACTGAACTTGAATCCTGTGGAAGGGCTGCAAATGCTCTTAACCACTAAGCCACCTCCAAAGTCCCTACCTTTTACTCTCTGTCTGGTCAGTCTCTGGTTTTTTTGTTTGTTTGTTTGTTTGTTTTTTGTTTTTTTTTTCTGTTTGTCTGTGGAGATGGACAGTTCATCTCCCAGTAGGAGTTAAGATGAATGTTAACCTCTACTTGGTGTATATGCTCATAGAACCCCTGACTTTTATTTGAAGATGGACAGCACCTTGGAGATCATTTCTCACAGTAGAAATTGCTGCAAATGAGTTCCTCCTCACTCTTCTCTCCTTCCCTTCTAGACTTCTCCTTATTCTTTATAACAACTGTTTGTTAATCACCTACTGGCTCCCAGCAAAGACATTGATGACTGACAATCAGGTACTCAGTGTGTGATAAGAGCTGGAGAAATTTGCCATTTGTATTTAGCCCATCTTCTCTGTGGTAGGTTTTCAATGCAGTACTTGCAAATGCTGCCACCCCTCCCCAGTGCGTTTCAAAGAACTTTTAAAAAATAGGAACCTCGCTAATTAACTCAAGTTAGGGAGTAAATTAATGGAGTGAAGAGGAGGAAACTATGGCTTACATCCATCAGATTAATACGATGCAATTTGCTTTGTGGGTTTCATAAACTTGTGCTTTGGGGCATTTTTAACCCAGAACAAATGAACATATAAATTGTTTACAAACCACTGAATTTAATATAGTGATTTAGCTGTCTTTTTAGTACTTCATATAACAGATGGATCAAATGAAAATAAATATTTGCTCAATCCAAACATATTTTGAATTTAATATGAAATGTAAATGACAGCAAAACATAATATGTCTTTGGAGCACTTGAAGCAATAAAAAATCAATTAAGGGTTCCCCTGTCATTGTTAAAAATTCTAACTTCTCTATAATGGAGCTAAAATTCATAAACCCAAGCAAGATGAGGAAGCCTTTGCAGCAATTATTAATTTTCTTTTCTGCATATTTTTGCGGTTACCCCCCCTCCCCCATATTGAGGTGCTGGGCTGGTGACTAATGAGAACAAATGAGGAGCTCTGGGAAATGAAACAGTACTGAGCCAACTAGGTCCCAAGCAATTTTCAGGATAAACCCTAATAACGCAGAAGTGCCTATTCCTCAAAACCTTTGTCGGACTTCCACTACTCCTTCCCTTTTTCTCTTTTTCATTCCTCCCCCCTCCTCTTCTTTCCTTCTTCCCATCTGTGTGCGATGTGTATGTGTGGGGGTACATGGGCCATTCACATGGGGCACTTAGATGCAGGCAAGCACTCATACACATCAAAATAAATGCAGTCAAAATGCAAATAGATATAATTTTTTGTGGCACTCCAGAAACTTTTCAAGGCAGCAACTTCCATGTAACCTTCGGGGCACATTAGAATTCCATGAAATAAATGAAAGGGAACCAAAGAAACCCATGAATCAAATGTGTCCAGCCAATAATGTCAACGAGAGCCTATCTGACTTACACTAGGTAATCATGAAGGGACAGAACATTGACAAATGTAACCCCACTGTAGGAACTTCAGCAAGAGTGATCTGGAGGGAAAACACAAAGGAAGTCCTCTGGAGAAAGCCATTCTATAGTATCTTTGTTAAAATATTTATCGTGTGTGTGTGTTTTTGTGTGTGTGTGTGTGTGTGTGTGTGTGTGTGTGTGTTTACATGTACTCAGGGAGGCCATAAGAGAACATCAGATGCCCTGGAATTGAAGTTACAGGCAGATGTATATCAATTTATGTGAGAGTCAGGAACTAAACTTGGGTCCTCTGCAAGAGCAGCCAGTGCTCTTAACCAGTGAACCATCTCTCTAGCCTCTAGTTTGCTTCTATTTGAGACAGGGTCTCAAGTAGCACAGGCTGACCTTGAACTCACTAAATAGCTGAAGATGCTCTTGAGTTTCTGGTCCTCTACCTTCCAAGTGCTAGGATTCAGTCCATAGTGCTGGGATGGGATCTAGGACTTCCTGCATTCTCAGCAAGGTCTTTACCAACTGAGCCAGATCCCTAGCTCACCATAGGAACATGGTTTAATAGTTGTTTTCTTGACTAGTTTAATGTTTCAGGGAAAGATATTTTCTGTAGTGCACAATGATCTATCAACCCCATCTCTCAGGAAATATCATCAAAATTAAATTAGTAACTTCTTAGTGTAAGATAGTATTTTGATTCAAATGCTTGAATATACCAGGAGAAAGTTTTACCTCAAGTACTCAGATTATTGCCATTCTCTTTCTTTTCCTTTATTGATGTAGATGCGGCTATAATAAATGATATCTCCTGTTTATTTTCTCTATTTGTGAAATCCATCATAAATTGCAAATTTCCTGCGATCAGCCCGGTAGACAAATACAATA